ATATATATATATATATATATATATATATATATATATATATATATATATATATATATATATAGGCCCATAAGGCCGGAACGGTACCGTCTGTAATAAGATATCGCTCTATGGCCTTTTGGTTATATTGAGCGCTCTATACAGGATAAGCCATGCCGCTTATGCATTGCCCACGTTCCCTGCTTGCAGTTTGAGCGCTCTGGCATGGTTTGATGTCCCACATTCGTGAAGCATCAAAGGTGACTGTAAATAGCAGTCACTTTCATCATGCTCATCAGCACTACACTGATGAGGCCCATAAGGCCGAAATGGTATATAAATAACTTATAAAGAGTGCGAAAATTAATACAAATCAAAGTATGCCACATGCAGCATGCGTTGGCTTTCCTCGGAAAGAAATTTGAATAAATTGTAATTATAAAAAAAAAGAAACAGTGTAATATTAAGTTAAGGTGAATAGCTTGAGATTTTCGCGTGTGGTCGAGGAGCGCGTTGAAGGAAAGGTGCCAATGGTATTTTCTTCAAGAAACCTTTCGGATGTTAAAATAAATCAGTTCAATTACTAAGCTTTCAAATAAATGTAAAAATGAAATTGCCGTTTAACTTAAAATTTTAGATTATTTGAAATTCAATTTTATTTGAATCAAAGGTTAATTTAATTTTTTGCTACACCCTGTTGACTTTAATATGCCATCTCATGCATGTGTCAACAGGTGTATAATTTACTTAAACTTAAGCAACACAATCTAAAGACCTATATTTACCATCTCACCGCTTCATTTATTATACGAACACTGTCTATTGCTTAACAAGGGGGAAAATTTGAGTTTCGAAAATTAGGTAAGTTATCAGCAAAGAAAATGTTTCTATTATAGCTTAAGTGACTTACTTTAGCAGAAGTCATAGCAAGTTCATTGAAATCCGAAAGTTATGGAAAATTCTATATATATATGAGTGAATGTAACTTAAAAAGCTTGATTCTAAGTTCTGTTAATCGTTTGGAACTTGCATATATTGGATGGATAGATAACCATAAAATTAGTTATTAAGAGTTTCAAATAGCTTACCTCTGCTCTCCTTTAACGGTTTTTATTAAAACATGGAAGGCAAAGTTGAAACGTTGTTCATAAATCTGACCTATAATGGCGTTCTAAAATTTTCATAAAAAATGTTTTATTAGCTCTATACATCTTACTGGAAATTCAGGTAAGTTGTATAATTTTAGAAATATCGATTTATTTAATTAGCTGCTGTTTTTGTAAATATTTTAACACTAACAAAATGTTATATATGGTTATATAAAAATATGGGTTGCTTAAGCTTATTAGTATCAACTAAAGCTTTCCCAAATATAATTCCAATAAATAAATAAATTATTATTTTTAATTGTCCGCTCTTTATAGATTAGAATAAACAGTTCAAAAATTCTAAATGTGTTATAATTAACAATGGATTCCATTTTTGGCCTCAATTTTATAACTTCAATATTTAAAAGGTTTTTTTTTTCATTTTCATACATTTTCATGGTATAAATACAAATCTATATCACAGGTTTTCATCAAAGAAGGATTGTTGTTTATTAAAGTTTCAATAAATTGCCAAAAAAAACCCTTAAGATACTGAATGTACCAAATGTTTATTAAGGTGAATGGCATGACAACGCAACACATTCGCGTATGACTGAGCCGTGGAGAAAAAAGCTACCAAATGTATTTTCGTCAAGAAACCTTTCAACTGCATGTAAGAATATACCATTCCTATAACATGAAAGGCCAAATACCTTTAAATTATTGTAAAGAGAGTTTAAATTTAACTTTCAGTCTACGTGAACTTTAATTTTATTTGTATCGAACTTTTAACATGTTTTTGTTGCACCCTGATGTCTTTCACACACCGCCATCTAATGAATGGATGGGTTAACAGGTGTTAATTTATTTAAATAAAGAAACAATCGAAACACTGCATGTTTACATTTACCTGCACCCTGCGGCTTCATATATTGTATACGAACACTGTCTGTTGCTTATTGCAGTGAAAAATTTGAGCTTAGGAAATAAGGTAATTTAATAGACAACTTGCATGTTAGACAAATTTTTAATTTAGGCAAAAAAAGTAAATTCCCGTAAAGAACTTATTAAAATCAGTAAAATTGCAAAATATAATTGCGAAATGTTCTATAATGCAGAAAATATAGACTTGCAAAGTTTGCATATTTTAAGTATATTTGTATTACTAATTTAATTATTTTCCTTTTATAACTGTTGTGTTTTATTCCCTTGTCTTTACTTTGATTAAAATGTATAGGTCTAACATGCAAGTTGTCCATTAGAAAGAGAAAATTGTTTATTAAGTAACTATATGTTAAGTAATTTACCTTAGCAAAAGTCAGTCACAGAAAGTTATAGAAAGTGATGGAAATTTAAAAATTATGAAGAATTGTTTGCTTGAGCAAATGTAACGTACCAAGCTTATTCGCAAATTCTGTAAAGAGTTTGAAACTTAAATTAAATATAACTATAAAATTAGTCAGTAACTAAAGCTTCTTCCAAGTGTTACCTGCCATTTTTATTAAAAAATGAAAGGCAAACCATGGGAAGCACAATAAAAACATTGTTCATAATTTTTACCGCATGGCAGGGGTCCAAAATTTCTAAGTAAAATTGTCAATTAACGACAATAGTTTTATTAACTCTTCACATCTTACTGGAAGAACTCTGATCGATTCTTGCTTATACAGTATATATAGCGCTAAAATTGGCTTGGAAATTCATGTAAGTTATATATTTGTAGAAATATCAATGCATCTAATTATATAAATATGTAAATATTATATATAATTATAAAAAAATAATATATTTTTAAGCTTAGATATATCAACTTATATTTCGCAAGTATCCTATTACACTAATCTGTTATTATTTTATATGAGAACTTAAAACAAAGTTTTTAAAATTAAATATATAAAAAGTGTACAAAACTGGATTCCATATTTCTGTGCTATTTCTTCATTTTAAAAATTTTCCCTTCATTTTCATACTTTGTCATGAGGTCCCTATTTTAAACTATTGATTCCCCCATTTCTTACAAATGTGTAAAACGGCGTCACAATGGTTACCAAGAGTTCCAGTTAAATGCAAAATGCATTTACATTCTCACAACGAATTTTTTTCCCAGATTCATTTCAAATCTAAAATATATAAGCATGCAATGTATTGGTTAAATCGAAAACCTACGATTTTAATTTGATCTTATTAATTGTGATACAGATATGAAAGTGATACTTTCCTTAATAAATTTTGGGAAAACTATATGGAATTTATATAAAATTCATTGGACGTGACATGGAACTATACGGATCAATTATAAATATATATAGCTATACTGTATATACGGTGTACTGAACAACATGCTCAAAATTTTTATCTTCATCTACAGTATATGATATACATATTGATCTTTTGATAATCACTAGAAAAGTCAACATCGTCCATCAAAACTTCATATTATACAAGTTGGTCTAGTTTTCATTAAATTGAATAATATCCTTTTTTCAAACTTAGTGAATTTGGAACAAAAATGATGCAGGCTATATACCTTTGTCTTTTGGCGTCACTCGTATCCAGCTACTTGCTGATTTCTGTTAACGCACAGGGTAAAAATGCATTCGACAACAACATAAACCGCTGTCTTTTTGATGGTTGGAGTAGGGGTAGAAGCGCTGTTCTTAACGCAAAAATGGAATGCCGTGGTCGCTCTTATGCTGGCCTTTGTTATGGTTTAAGAAGAGGAACAGCTTTATTCGCTGTCTGTTACAACCAGAATACCCTCATCCCTGAATTTACTGGGCACGTAGTTTCTCCACTTGGCAGAAATCAAGTAGCTGCAACGGGAAAAGACGATTTCAGGAATGAACAAGGACGTTATGGTAAGTTGCATGCTTCATTTATAAGTATTAGTTATATTAAGTTTTAATTATTTCACTTTATTTAATAAGCCATTTCATGCATCTCATATTTAATCAGTGCCGTAGCAAGTTCGATAACTGAGGGGCTGATATTCATATATTCGCACTGCAAAAAATCAATTTCTTGTTTTAAGAAAATGTTACTTATTTTAAGCACAAAATTACTTGTTTTAAGAAAATTTTACTTGTCGCGTGTGTAAGTAAAATATTCTAGGTAAGAATCAGATTTCAAGAAAATTTTTCTCAAAATAAGAAAATTATCTCTATTAGACATATAACGAAAAGAATGAACATCATTATATCATTCTGATAACTGCAGGTTGACCATCATCTGCTGCACGATAGTGCTTATTGTGAAATACACCTGTTCCTCTGGACTTTAATTAATAATACACTACATGCACACTTACAGCACAAAAATTGTCCCGTGGATAAGTAAAATTTTCTAATCAAGAATATTTTTCTTATTTCAAGAAAACGTTCTAGCAAAATTTTCTTATTTCTAGAAAAAAATTCTTAGTTTCCCAAGAATTATTTTCTAGTAATAAGAAAATTTTGCTAGAACGTATTCTTGAAATACTTACCCATGGGACAAAATTAGAAAAATTTATCTTGAATTGAAATCCTGCCAAGAAAATTATTCTAGTTCGATCCGGTGTGTTCATGGCTTTTAAGAATATTTTTCTTAAATGACAATACGAAACTAGAATAATAATCTTGGCATGTTTTTTTGCTGTTGTTACTTGTCATCCTAGAATATAAAAACAATTAAGAACATTTAAAATAATGTATTTACCAGCTATACATCAATAGGTTAAAGTAATTACTGATAGATAAATGTAAACGTTCTCACACGTAGCAATATTGCTCAATTTCCTGAAAAGCCTTTACCATGTCAGACTGCCGAGTCTGGATGGGTAGTCTAAGTCGAGCAGGTACAGTAGAACAACATCAGGAAGTAAATGATCGCTTTTACAGTTTCGCTATATGTTGGCAATAGCTCCATGTCATGATCAGCCCTGATACAGTATGTCAGCGGGCCTCATTTGTAGGCAGGTAGTCAAGGCTGTGTCTCTTTCCTTTTGTGGAAAAAAAAACACAAATTAAATTAGTTTTGGTAACAACTACACAACCCTCATTAACCCATTGAGTCGCATTGCACCCTGACGCACCCTACTTTAGTGTTTTACTCTGTTTAACGCCAGACGATTTTACTCGTCAAGGGGAGAGCGCTGGCGCTTAATTGGTTAACTGGCCTATCTGCCCATGTGCCTAGTTATACTCTGTCTAACGCCAGACGATTTTACTCGTCAAGGGTAGAGCGCTGGCGCTTAATGGGTTAATTAACAGCTTATAGACATAGCGAAATACTATGATGGATGGAACAAGAGACACGGGCAGATAGTTTTTGTTAGCCCATATTAACTTATCTCAACTATAGGAAAGTTAAAATAAAAATGTATACGTACACTAAATTTGATTCAGGCCTTACTAAATTAATTTTATAAAATGAAACTATAACCTCACCTCATGCAACAAAGATTATGATGTCCAGTTTGCTCTTATCAGGTTTACTTTTTGATTTGAAGTGCGAATTAAATGTTCTTCATTAGGTGAAGTACTTTCTATAGAATTACATACATAAAAAATAATATTAATTAAGTTACATTTTTAATAAAAGCATTGTGATATTTTGAGGGCTAAAAAATGAAATTTTGATTTTTCATATAATTTATTAGTTACCGGTACAGTATAAACCAAAATGCAATTTTCATTCCGATTATTATCTATTAACGACACCTAATGTCGATGCTACACAACAAAAAATCATTTTCTTATTCATATAATTTATTAGTTACCGGTACAGTATAAACCAAAATGCAATTTTCATTCCGATTATTATCTATTAACGACACCTAATGTCGATGCTACACAACAAAAAATCATTTTCTTATTCATATAATTTATTAGTTACCGGTACAGTATAAACCAAAATGCAATTTTCATTCCGATTATTATCTATTAACGACACCTAATGTCGATGCTACACAACAAAAAATCATTTTCTTATTCATATAATTTATTAGTTACCGGTACAGTATAAACCAAAATGCAATTTTCATTCCGATTATTATCTATTAACGACACCTAATGTCGATGCTACACAACAAAAAATCATTTTCTTATTCATATAATTTATTAGTTACCGGTACAGTATAAACCAAAATGCAATTTTCATTCCGATTATTATCTATTAACGACACCTAATGTCGATGCTACACAACAAAAAATCATTTTCTTATTCATATAATTTATTAGTTACCGGTACAGTATAAACCAAAATGCAATTTTCATTCCGATTATTATCTATTAACGACACCTAATGTCGATGCTACACAACAAAAAATCATTTTCTTATTCATATAATTTATTAGTTACCGGTACAGTATAAACCAAAATGCAATTTT